TTAGGTGTTTGAATATGTGCACTAGCTGCATGATGTTCAATTACTCCTTCCTCTAATTGTTGTTGTGTAAAAGTTAACTTTTTATTCTCTAATTCAAGGCGAGATTTTTCGAATTCTCGATCCTTTTCTCTCTCTATTAACTCATGTTCTCTATCCTTTGCTCTTTTCTCAAGTTCTCTTAATTTAACTTGTTCCTCACGTATCTTAGCTTGTTCCTCACGTATTTTAGCTTGTTCCTCACGTTCTCTAGCTCTTTCCTCACGATCAAGTCTATCGCTCTCCTTTTTGTCTTCTCGCTCTCTTTCTAACTGTCTTTCTTGGATTTCTCTCTCAATTCTCTCTCTCTCCTTTTTCTCTTCTCTTTTGATTCTCTCTCTCTCCTTTTCTTCTTCTCTTTCCCTTTCTAACTGTCTTTCTTCTCTCTCAATTCTCTCTCTTTCAAGTCTTTCCTGGATCTTAGCACTAATGAAAGATTTTAAATTTTTCCCTGTTATTCCTAACTTACTTCCAGCGTTCATCCAAAACTGGTATTCCTCCATGCTTGCAAGAATAACTTAAACTATCAGGGGAAATGAAATGGGTATTAAAGAAAACGGAGGGTTCAATTCCTGCTCCGCTCAAACTGTAAATAAACCAGAGGGCTCGATCCCTGCTTCAATTAAACAATATGTATTAATTAAAACGAAGGGTTCTATGCTGGCTTCGAGCAAACAGTAAGTAGAATGGGGTCACTTGACCATCCAATCTTCTCATGAACAAATCAAGAGTGTCCTACGGCAGTTCCCTTGATAAAATAAAGAGCTCAATGAAACAAATTTTCACTGGAAAATCTCGGGTCCCTAGAGTCTAATCCTCCAAAGTGTTTCAAGCTCGAACAAAAAGGTGGAAGAATTAAATATTATATCCTGCCTGACTTGACTTACAATAAATTGAGACTATAACAATCACCAAATCTTTTAAATACCTGTACTGTAGTCCTACCATAGAGAATGATTACTCATGGCTGGTGGTAACCGTCTGTGGTATGCGGCGTTGAAGTTCCAATGGTAGATTCGAGATGGAGTTGAATCTTGATTCAGTAGAGTTGATCCTGGCAAGGTCGCCACTTGTGAAGGCTTACTCAGCCCTGTAACAACTTCAGACAGTATTACCAAGGCTGGCTCCTCCTCAGGAAAATTAATGAATAGAAAAAGAAATAATAACAGACAAACATAAATACTTTATTATATAGAAAATATAAAATATAAAACACTTAAATATGAAATATTAATCCTACATTAAAGAAAATGAAAAATGAAAAATATAAATGATAACTGAATTCAACGCTAATATAAAACTTAGGTGTCTGGTGTTGGTGACACTGCTTGTTGAAATCGTAGCTGTTGCCGATGATGGGGGGGGGTCGCAGGTATTAGTTACAACCCACTGGCTAGTTCTTTACAGTATAGCCTTGAGTATTCTATCCCGATGACAGGAAAGCAGGTTCTTTACCGCTGCAATGATGAGGGGTTACGTCCTGCAATTTCATACAGGTGCACAGGTAATTAAATCCCAAAAGGGGAAGTCTCAGGACGTTAGTCCATCTCCTTCAATTCTACTCGTTGATTGGCAGGTGACCCTCTCTGTCATCCAAGAGTAGTGCTGGGAGCTGTGAGTCTAGTAATTACTGTTTGGATCGGAGTCCTACATGTCACCTTTCGAGGGGGGGGGGGGAAGAAGGAGGGGAAGGGATAGTGGGAGCTAGACTGACTCTACCTTAACAAGCAGCCAACAATCAAACTATCACTTTCGGTGTGGGGGAAAAAAGGTGGGAATAGCGGGAGCTAGACTTACCTTACCTTAACAAGTAGCCGGCAAGCAAACTATCACTTTCGGGGAGAGGAAAAAAAGGGGAGGGGAATAGTGGGAGCTGGACTTACCCTACCTTAACAAGTAGCCGGCAATGAAACTATTGTTACTATATACTCCATCGCTACTCCTGTCTATTGAACTTTTCCCTCATAGATTATCGTAGAACTCCAGTAGATTTGTGATGTAGATGAATTGTTCAGAGAACCGACACGTTGATAAATTAGAGACATGTGCAACTCTTGGGTATCTTTATTGAGGAAACGTTTCACCACACAGTGGCTTCATCAGTCCATACAAAGGAGAATCGTGAAGAACAGGAGAAGAATGAGGTAATCAGTACTCACCTAATTGTGGTTTCAGGGAGGCTGTCAGGTTAAGTTTCCTTAACCTCTCCTCAGCTAGGGGACTAGTCTTGTTGCAAATCTTTGCACTTTCTCTAATTTCTTGAAGTGTTTCACCAGGTGTGAGTTTCATACTGGTGGTACATATGCCAATATGGGACTGACGTACACAGTGTACAGTATCGTTAATGACTCCTTAAGAGTTCGATACGTTATTCTCAGGCGCCAGTATCCTGCACAGTTATTTGGTTTAAGTGCACTTCAGGAATTGCGCTCGGTATGATGCTCACTCCAAGATCCTTTTCCTTGAGTGAGTTTTGCAGCCTCTGACCTCTTAGGCTGTACTCCATCTACAGTCTCCTTTGTCCTTTCCCAAACTTCATAACTTTGCATTTGCTGGGGTTAAACTCCTGAAGCCATCTCTCGGACCAGACTTGCAACCTGTCCAGAAGCCCTTGTAGGCTTACCTGATCCTCGTCCGCTTGTATTATTCTAATTAGCTTCACGTCCTCTGCGAGCAAGAACACCTCTGACTCTGTCCCTTCCGTCATGTCATTCATATATTCAAGACAGAGCACTGGACCTAGGACTGACCTCTGTAGAACCCCATTCCACATTTGCACCTACTCTGACACATTGTCTCATAGAGACACACGTTGTTTCCTTCTTGTAAGGTATTCACTGATCCCTCCTATTCCTGCCTGCTCCTCTAGCTTTTTAACCAATCTCTTGTGTGTTACTCTGTCGAAAGCCTTCTTACAGTCTAAGAAGATGCAGTATACCCATGTCTCTTTCTCTTCTGTTTTACTTCTGTTACCTTGACATAAAAATTCAACAGATTTTTGATGCAGGATTTCTCTTCCCTGAAGCCGTGCTGGTTGTCATGTATTAATCCATTCTTTTCTACGTGCTCCACCACTTTTTTTCTGATAATCATTTCCATAACTTTACATACATGTTAGCGACACTCGTCTTTAATTTAGTGCAGCTAGTTTTTCTCCTTTCCTAAAAATCGGGAATACATTTGTAGTCTTCCACACCCCAAGCAGTTCCCCATGTTTCGATAGGTTTACTGAAGATTATTGTTAGTGGCACAGTGCATCTACCCACTCTCTCAGGACCAAAACCGAGATATTATCTGCACCCACCGACTAGCAGTTTCTTCTCCTACTCTTCGGTTGTGTGCTGTATGTACAGCACTTGATGGTGCATCCTACCACCTCGGTTTGCTGGAAGCCTCTCTGTCTCCACTGTGATTACCTTCCTGAATCGGGGGCTGAGCTCATCACATACTTCCTGGTCGTGTGTGTGTTGTGTACTCACCTATATGTGGTTGCAGGGGTCAAGTCATAGCTCCTGGCCCCTGGTGTGTGTGTGTGTGTGTGTGTGTGTGTCTGTCAAGGTGCATTTTGGAAATGGATAGAGAATAGCCCAGCTTCAACTGTACATATTCTGGTTAGAGTCCTTTACAATGGCTTTTCCAAATACAAAAATTTCAATAATCAATCATAATTAAAACAGTTTATTTTCAACATTAATTTTTAAATAAATAAAACAGACTGCTTGAAAAGTGAAAATACAGTAATGAAGACAGAGATGTTGCTGAGAGAGTAAGTAGCTGTCAGCTTATTTTTACTCTTCAGAACGTAGGGAACTGACGATGTGGCGCTACTAATGATAGTGACTAACAATTTCCGCCAGTAAAACAAAGGAAGCGAGGACGTAGCCCAAGAATAACACGTAGAATGCTCCCTGCAGCTGGTGTAGCCGTAACACTTGTGTCCTGTCGTCCTGCGGGATATTCATGATCAGAGTTATGAAGTATAATACATTCAAATATAAATTATTTGGTCATAACCCTAAGTAAACTTTCCATCATTGTAATTTATTGTCGAGAACTGCAAGAACTGATGATTAAGTATATAGACAATTATTAAATACCTTCCAATCACATTCTCAATGTTGTTTAGAAAAATAAAATTTTTTTACAGAACGGGCAGTTAATCGGACAATATTTTTATCGGTATTCTTCGACATGACCGTAATAAACTTTATCGCGGTCAAACTGGTAAAAGTTTCGAACTTAGATTAAAACAACATAAATATAGCATTAGAACTGGACAAGATTCCAATGCTCTATTTATTCATGTGAGAGATTTTAACCATCCAATTGATTTTCAAAAAGTTGAGAAAGTTTTATCAAGCAAGTCCATGGTTGACAGAAATGTAATTGAATCTTATTTCATAAAAAGCAGTTTTGAAAATAATATGAATATTTCCTTAGGTTTGTATAAATTAGATTCATTTATAATTAATGAAATTTGGTTAGAGTTTAATAATACATTGGACAAATAATAAACCTTATTTCTTGGGTAGAATGATTTGTTAGTGGGATGTTGTGAGGACCTCTCTAGTTGGACCAGCGGACCTACTGCAGTGTTCCTCTTTTCTTATGAGTCCGGTATTGCCGCGTGTCAGGTGTTTCTTTGTTGTGGGAGTTGACTGTGAGGTATGGTCTAAGCCCTTTAATTGCCTTCCTTTGATGTTTTACTTTCATAGTTTCTTGACAATGTGAGTAGTCACGAAAGTGCTTGGAATTTCACTACTCTTTAACAGTGGTTGTTTTGCATATATATATAAATATATATATATATATATATATATATATATATATATATATATATATATATATATATATATAATATATATATATATATATATATATATATATATTATATATATATAATTATTTACATACTGACATGTATATATCAGCTGTGAGGTGTAAAATGCAACTTTAGTGTATTTCATGCTGGATTACAAAATGGAAATTAAATACATTCACAATCAAGTATAAATATATAGTGGAAGGGCAATATATCATTTTATCAGCAACATTCTCTCACTAACCATACTTACTCTCCTTTTATCCCCCCTTTATTCTTTTTTTTCTTAATTTCCAGGACTATACTCAGTGATGTGAATCTGGATTATATTAAGAAACACAATACTTGCATTGAGATCGTTTCCGGAGAGTCCCTCAGGGCGGAGTGCTGCACCTCCTCTGTTCTCCCGCACTCGTCTGGTTATCACCTCTTTCATCCACTGGTTGGTAATGCCAGAGTCTTTTAACTGCAGTAACAGCTGGTTAAATCGCCGGAAAAATGGTGCGCCTTTCCTAAAGGAGAACAAAATATTATTTTGTAAAAACACCCAGTCATTACAATCTATGTTTCCATCATCTTATACATTTGAGTTATTGCTACACACAACTGCATATAAATAATATATATATATATATAATATATATATATATATATATATATATATATATATATATATATATATATATAATATATATATATATATATATATATAATATATATATATATATCCCAGCCCGAGCCCGACAGTCAGCCTCAAACATGGATTCAAGCTATTTCTATCTCCTTCTGTATGATCTGACCTCTCAAGCAATTTGCTGCCTGGGAATCTGACCGTCCCCAACACTAGTTGCGAATCCTGCTGACTGGGATCTTTCTTTGTATATACCCGCTTGTTTCTCCATGGTGCATTGATATAAAAAAATCGCTTGAGAGGTCAGAACATACAGGATGAGATTGAAATAGCGAATTCCTAGGTACCTTCCCCTCTTTCATATTTTTAAACAAAAATACCAACCACTCCAACACCATATCTCCCCCTGCATTTAACATTTCCGCCATTATCCCGTCAGTTCCAGCAGCTTTACCCCCCTTCATTCTACGTAATGCCTCACGCACTTCCCCGACACTCACATCCTACTCTTCTTCACTCCTAAAAGATGTTATACCTCCCTGGCCAGTGCTGTTTAACAAGATTATTTGGTAGAGCTGAAAGTGGGTGGTTAAATGATATGTCTTCGGAGGCTTCTTACTTTATTGTTAAGTCGTGGTGGGTACACAGGCTTGTGTGTTGTGCCCATGGCCCGGTAGGGGCCATGCTCACGAGGGAGAGAGGAGTGGACTGTTCTTGACTGAGTGATGGGTGTCGCCAGAGTGAGAGTGAGGCAAGGGCAGCCAGGCTGGCATGCCCACCGAGAGGCCTGGCTACAGAGGGCAGCATCTTAGTGCTGCGAAATATGATCTAAGCTGGCAGACAGCATGGGCTGTTTGTGCAGAAAGTACAGGCTGTCTACATACGCTCGGCCACCTACCACGCGTCGTGCCGACGCGAAAATACTGGTGGTAAAAGAAACTCGGTCTCTCTCGTAGGAACAGGGCACAGAACACAAAATAAAAACATATATATACATATGGACATGGAAAAAAAAAACTTCCTACAGGGAGGGAAGAAAAAAACATGTGGGTGTGCTAAACATCGTGGTCATAGGCAGTGAGTGTCAAAGGGCATCACTGCATGCCTTCCTGAGTCTGGACAGATACTGCAACACAGGAGACATCGCTGCAGCTGAGCTGTGATGTAATAGGTTACGGTCTCCTCTGGAACCGTGAAGCAGACATCGTAGGAGTCGCTTCAGGTTTTCACTCAACCTGGGGCACGACATGCTGGTGCCCTCGAGTGAGGCGTCGACAAAACTCAGCAACTGGGCATGACTTCTGGCAAGCGACTCAGGAGGACACTTCTCGACTGGTACTGTCACTGGGCTGTCACTGCCGGCGAGCATGGAGCGAGTTGTGGAGCGAGTCGTGGCAGAGACGACTGGGCAAAACATCTGGGAGTCGTAACATCATACACCAGACTGCAGTGAGAGAGCTAGCAGTCAAAGTGACATCTTTGTGCAGGCTGCTCACTGAAGCTTGTGACACGAGGCTGACACAGCGCCTGCCGACAGGGCTAACTGTGGCTTGACGAGTGTCATTCTCTCGGCAGTTGGAGTTATAGCAGAGGTTAGTCTAAGCATCCCCAGACTTGTTTCTCTATATATAACTGCACTCTGAAGGTCTTGAGGTGAAGCGAAACAAATCTCGATGGGAATCGTAGCAGGTACTATTCTGCAGAGCATCACGAGCGATGAGCATAAAAGCTTTCTGTACAAGAGGGCTCGGTCACTCGGGGGCTGAGTAAATCAACTGTCAAATGCACTGGTCACACGGGTGACTTAGCACAGTGGTGCTACTCAGGTCTGGCTCAGACCTCACTGGACACATGGAAACTTTAAACACACCCACGGTACATGCAGTACACTAACATGTGAGAACACTGACTGAGAGGAATTAACACACAACATACATCTTCTCTCAATCTTCTCAACAATACTGAAATAATTACTGAACACTCAATGGTGACATCATGTGATGTCAGGCGTGATGACGTCAGCAGCACTGTGACATCAGCAGACATCTAGAGGTGACGTCAGGCAGACATCGTGAGGTGATGTCAGCAAACATCATGACGTCATGAAGTCGGGCAGCATCGTCAGTGATGTCAATGTGATGTGGGCAGCAGACCACAGCATGAGGCCTGGGACATCTGGTAACTCACGTAGCTGGTAGATCCACGTGACATCGCCCACACCCACGTGGCGTCGGGATCCACGTGGCGTCGTGATCTATGTGGCATGCTGATCCACGTAGCTTCGAGTGGCCTCGGGCACTCGGATACACAGTTCTGGCAATGAATTCACACAGAAAACAGCAGAAAACACAGTAGAGGGAGTGGGCAGTGGTGAGTGGTGTATGGTAGGCTGGTGAGGTGTGAGATTACAGCAGGGCGAGGCAAGGAACTGTCCACTTCCTCTCCCTCCTACAAACATGTGGAGAAAACCACACTGGATGCATAAATCACCACAAAACTCACCTCTGGCTTGCTGAAATAGCTGTGCTGAGCTGAACAACAACAGCAACATGCAAGTGACGCTGAACACGTGACTTGAGAAACAGCGTGGAAAGCTGTAGCGTGGGGTCACTGGGACGCCACTTACAATTCTCGGAGAAATTCGGCAAATTTCAGCTGGATCCTGCTTGTACCTGTGTCTGGATGCTCAAACGTGCAGACACGACATCAGGATAACTCGTTGAGAGACAAATGCTTCTTGTATAGGGGGATGGAGTGAAGATGACTTCATACCTCTTCCTTCCTCTCTCCGGGCAAACAACTGCTGCGACCACCGCTGCTACCAATGTTTAACAAGATTATTTGGTAGAGCTGAAAGCGGGTGGTTAAATGATATGTCTTCGGAGGCTTCTTACTTTATTGTTAAGTCGTGGTGGGTACACAGGCTTGTGTGTTGTGCCCATGGCCCGGTAGGGGGCCATGCCCACGAGGGAGAGAGGAGTGGACAGTTCTTGACTGAGTGATGGGTGTCGCCAGAGTGAGAGTGAGGCAAGGGCAGGCAGGCTGGCGTACCCACCGAGAGGCCTGGCTACAGAGGGCAGCATCTTAGTGTCGCGAAATATGAACTAAGCTGGCAGACAGCATGGGCTGTCTGTGCAGACAGTACAGGCTGTCTACAGTGCATGAAATTACTGCCTCCTTTTCTTCGTCGACATTTAAAAGTTCCTCAAAATTTTCCCACCATCTACCAATACCTCCAACTCCCCATCTTCTAACTTCCCTACTACTGACTTCCCTACTAGTAGTAGATAGGTTGTTCCTAGTGTCAGTTTGGTTGTGCTGTCGCAACATACATTCCTCTAGCTCAGCTTCGGAATGCACATTGTCATAGCTGATATGATCAAGGTGAGTTTCCTTAATTGTTCCACTGGCATTCTCCTCACCTGCAACTTATTGCCGTGAAGCTGTCTGAGGACACGAAAGAACCAACAAACTTGGGAACTAGCTCACATATACCAGCGTTTTGAGAGAAGTTTTCTAACAGTTTCAGTCAAATTTTAAATTTGGACCTCCTCGGAGGCCCAAATTTAAATTATAAGTTTGTGTTTGTGCATTTTAAAAGGTTTGAATAAGAAAAAATCGAAGAAATATGGGTATAAGTTTCCAAATGATGATTTGTAAATGCCTCTACTGATTCAGTTAAGTTCTTCGTCACAAATATATTTAAGTATACAACATGACAGGAAATCGTAATGACACGATTGCAAACAAACCATACCATGGGTGAGGTTAGAACCCGCGATCAGAGAGTCTCAAAACTCCAGATCAACGAGCTAGCCACTGAGCCAGCAAGCCAAAATAAGAGTCATCCAACTAGTTATATTTCTACACCATAGGAAGCTTAGCATAGGCACCACTGTGACCACAAATGCAAGTTTTTACAGACGAATCTCCAGCTAGCGTGGCCGTGAAGAATTCTAGCTCAAGTCCCCTCAAAGCCGTCAACATGGCAAGCTGGCCCAGTGGTTAACGCGACGGTCTGGAGTTTTGAGACTCTGATCGCGGGTTCTAACCCTACCCGTGGTATGGTATGGTTTATATTTAAGTGCATTATTCTCTTATGCCGTACTCTCATTATTCCAACTGAGTGCATTGTGGCATAGGGTACTAAGGGTTATTCGATAAAGGGGTACCTTTCTAGGATCGCACAGCGGCCGATTTGCATTTAGTCATCATGTAACACAGAAGGAGACCCTTTAAATGATTGCAGAAATATATATCTTTTTTTTGTTCATCATAAAACTTTTCATTTTATTTCGCTCAAAAGACTGAATACCAATTTTCATGCAATAAATTCCGAGTGCTTCATCCAACTGGCTGCAACTTTCAACGCTAATAAATTGTTAATGTAATTTCTAAGATGTGTAGTTCAGGATATTGGTCTCTTTGAGATGACAAGAGACGGCGTCATCAGTTTGGCTTCAAACCTGATATTTCTGAGTGGATAGTTCGAATTAGTTTAAAAATATGTGTGTTCTAATTTGTCATTTTAATTTGAAGAAATTGGGATATTAGTGTCCCTATTATCACATGTAAATACATTATCAGATTCGCTTCACATGGTCAGTACTAACATATAACTTTATTAAAAACTTATGTTGCACTCTGCAGTATGCCTTTGACGTAAAGGGGGCTGGAGTTATGCAATATGGGAAAACATTACAGAACTTAACACAATTATCGATAACTTGCCTAAATCCCCATCCAAAATCAGCGTTTAAGTATATTCCAGAGCGAGAGATGTAGTAGGGAGACTGGCCGTAGATGTTCGTGTAGAAGGACTGGATGACGACGGTAATGTAATACTTAGTCGTTATGAAACTGTAACTTCCTTCCTTTACCATAGACAAGGCTTCCTCTGCTCTCACAACCTGAATGTAAAAATTGATGAAAAATATTTCCAGGCATATTTTAATATAGACAGACATGCATCATTTTAGAAAAAAAAATATTTGAACACATATTTTAACAGAATGTTAAATGTTTTTTGTGAGTGCCTATTTAATTTCGAGGATCAGATGAAGAAATATTAACTTACATATCTTTATATGCAATTTTTCAGTTATTTAAATCAACATTATGAGTCAACACCACATAACCACACGAAGTGTTAAGGAGCCAGGATCATTATTTTCAAAACTGTATCACAATAGCGTTATCTTCATGGAAATTTTCGTTCATGGTTTTAATGGTCCCAAAGTAGAATGTTGCAAACTTAATTGAAATTGAAAAATAACATATGGCATATTTTTTGTTTCAACTTCCAGTTAACAGTATTCACCAGAAAACACCATAAGTGGTTTTTCTTCATGCTAATATAATGTAATATGACGTAAGTAAGACACGTATGCAACAGTTAGACATCGTTAATCTGAAACGTTTCGCCTACACAGTAGGCTTCTTCAGTCGAGTATAGAAAGTAGGCAGGAGCAGTAGAGATGTGAAGACGATGTAATCAGTCCATCAGTCTTGAAGTCGAAGAATTGAGGTTGTCAGTCCCTCAGCCTGAAGAATCGTTCTGTTATATATTTTGAAACAATGTGGAGATCAAACGACAACGTCGAGACTTATATACTGTCGGAAGGAGAGGTGCAGAGTGGTAGAAGTAATAATGTAATCACTGAGAGGTCACGTCACTCTCAGATCCAACTATTCTCACTTGAAAAAGTTGTCCAAAGTGTTTTCTCTTCTGTACCAAGATGCCATTGTGTTTGACTTCAAGGGTGATGGACTCATTACATCGTCTTCACATTTCTACTACTCCTGCCTACTTTCTGTACTCGACTGAAGAAGACTACTGTGTAGGCGAAACGCTTCGGATTACAGATGCCTAACTGTTGCCTACGTGTTTTACTTGCCAACCTGTCGATAGCTGACATTATTAGAAGTCATCTTGAAGAGCATAATTTGATTAATGAATCTCAGCATGAGTTCACGAGAGGTCGTTCCTGCCTGGCAAATTTACTGACGTTCTGCAATAGAACATTTGAGGCAGTAGACAGTGATAAAGAATATGATATTGTTTATTTGGAATTTAGTAAAGCATTCGATAGAGTACCTCACAAGAGATTCTTAAGAAAAGTGACAGCTCATGGTATAGGAGGTAAAGTTCTAGTATGGATAGAGGCATGGCTTACCAATAGAAAGCAGAGAGTTTCCATTAATAGGATCAAATCTGAATGGGGATTAGTCACTAGTGGCTCAATTTTAGGCCCTTTGTTGTTCATAATTTACATTAATGACCTTGATGAAGGAATTACGAGTGACATGAGCAAATTTGCTGATGATACAAAAACAGGAAGTATGCTTCATTCTGAGGAGGATACCAATGAACTCCAGGAGGATTTGAACAAATTAATGTCTTGGTTTGAAAAATGGCAGATGAAATTCAATGTGGATAAGTGTAAGGTACTAGTCCTTGGTAATGAAAATAACCTTCAATGCTATAAACTATGTGAAGTAGAGCTTGATCATACACTGTAAGCAGAAACCTTAAGCCACAAGCCTCAAAAGTTGTATTGACTGATAGTTGTAATGTAGACTATGGAATCGAGATGGCAACTTCGTGCTTCATCCCAGGCTCACGCACTTGACACTGGCACTGCCTTGTCTATATCACCATTGTAATCGTTATCCTCATAATCATCATTATAGCTATTATTATTATTAAGCTTTCATTGTGTCTGCTTATCATTCTCACTATTTTTAACATCAAAATAATCATAAAAATCATCACCTCTCGTATTCTTATCAACAGCTTCATTTGTTACACTATCAACTTTGCAATCATCATTATTTTTATCTCTATCATCATCAATGCAATCAATGCGGAGAGCAATATTGTTCTATAAACGTTTTGCTTCCGACGTAACGAATGACTGTCTAGCCACACAGGGCATCAATCAACATTGCCATCATAGAGGTTATTGTGAAAGCTCTAATATTTATGAAGGTTAGTGCTAGTGATGTTTGGTGAAGTAAATAGGAGATGGCAAGCCAACTCTAGCACTCTACACGATTTAGAAAGATGAGAAACTGAGAGGACCAGAAAAGTGGGAAACAACAATATCCAGCTGTCTATTTGGCGAAGATTTCTTTACAGACTGAAGTGAATTTTTTTAGTTTAAAGAATAAAATAAGCTCTGGATACTGAAACATACGGAAAATTAAAAAAAAAATTCTTTCATATTGGTTGTGTATTTATTACCGAGTCTCAATCATACTCACCTCCATTTTCTTATAAATAAGTTTCACTACAGGATCTGTATGTGTGGAAAAATATATTCCAGGTGATCCTTTCATATTCCAAGGCTCGATACCCCATCTCCAGTTGTTCAGAGACACCAGGTCCTCCAAGGTTTCCGGAGGTTTACTCTTACTCTGGACTGTGAGATGTGCGATTAATGATGAGCTGTATCCTGTTGTTATGACCAGGCAGAACACCAGCCACACACCTACCAACACCTGTAAACGTAGAATAAACAAGCCTCTAATATGATAACCATCCATTTACCTTCAGACCAACGTTATTTGTTAAGATAACATTAAAGAAAGCAAAGAATGCCATGTGGTAGCGACTTCGACTCACAACTTGAGGATCCTTGGTTTGACATGTTTCATTACATTTGTCTATTAGAGTAACAATAAATAAATAGCTAGATGTTAGTTGACTGTTGTTGGTCATATTCTCAGAGGAAGAAAAATATAAATTTTATTGAGCTAGACTTTTAGAAATGTTCTCACGTTTTTATAAAAATAATGTTAAAAATGTTATTATCAGCAAACATTGTATAATATTATTTGAGTATGTTTATCGATCATATATATTAACGAATTGTTTTGCTCGGAGGATGACCGGGTGTAATTATTGGCTTCACCACTCCTCCTCCAGAGTTATAACCTGTTACACTCAAACACGTTTTGTCCATTGTTTTTTTATGGACGCTAATTCAGAACTCGGTCTTGTGTCCATGCACAAAGCCTTATGGGGGTGTCGTGCACAGTGTCTTGGGTTTTGTTGGACATATACAGTTTGAGACTATGTTTGTGGGAGCATAGATGGTCTTCTGAAGATTTTATGTCTGATGTGGACATGTTGTAAAAGAGGATTTACTCCATTGTTTACTTTGTCTCTGGGATGAAAGGTTGCCACTTGTAACTATTGCTTAGATTATGTATAACACTCCCTTCAACACACACAAAATATACATGATTAGTTAAATGATGCATAATTACACTTATTGAAGAACATTTTATATCTAAAGATTCAGCAGAGTACACAACTATCTATTATTATTGCCATAACGGTATAATAATATAAAAATACTCCTGTATTGATCTAGATCAATACTGCTCATTACTAGGTAGGGTTCTCACAGTAATGTCGTCTGCAAGTGGCAAATGTTGCACATTACTGACCTGCAGATACATTGTACTGAGTCACGAATATTTATGTTGTCATAAATGAGCCCAATTGTGATGCCACGTATACCCTATAAGGAAAAAAACTTTATACCTTGTTTCCTGTCTCAGTCTTTAGTGTCCCATTCTGCAGATTAATGTTAGACTGTGTGGGTCATTGCCTCTCAGTAGAATAAAAAAATATCCATCCCCATTTCAGAGGTTTGCTTTTTGTTCAAAGGATGTTTAAGCATGTATCATTAACATTAATTATCAAAATTTCCTTGTATGTAAAAGTTTTTATGTAATCACTAATGTATTATTTACAGCTTAAGACTGTAACTTCAAGAACGTTTTTTTTGTAAGTCGTTCACATTTGCTGCTTTGTATGCAATGCATATTCTGAAGTAACCGAATTTATTTTTCAAATATCTTACAATTCATGAATATTTCACAAATAATATCTCTATTATTTCTGCTTCCCAGGAAGTGTGGATCTAATAGTTACTTCTGATATGAGAGCCGAACCTTTGTGGTGGGTGACTGGCTGCAGGGAGTCATATTACGACCCACCACTCTCTTACCTCATTCCTCCTTAGCCCGTATGCTGCAGCAGTTATTTGGTTGATGTGCGCCTTAGGAGATGAGATTCATCCCAGGATTCTTTTCCTTGAGTGAGATTTGTAGTCTCTGACCCCTTAGACTGCACTCCGTCTATTGTCTTCTTTGCCTTTCCCCAATCTTCAAGACTTTGCAGTTGGTGGGGTTGAACTCCAGGAGCCAGTTTCTGGACCAGACCTGCAGCCTGTTCAGATTCTTTTGTAGTTCTCCGTGGTCCTCGATCTATTGAATTCTTCTCATTAACTTCACATTATCTCCAAACAGGGACACTCATGAGTCTATTCCATCCGCCATGTCGTTCACATATACCAGAAACAGCACCGGTCCTAAGACTGACCCCTGTGGAACCCAGCTCGTCACAGGCGCCCACTTTGACACCTCGTCGCGTACTCGCTGTCTTCCCGATAGGTATTTCCTGATCCATTGCAGTGCCTTCCCTGATATCCCTGCCTGGCCCTCGAGCTTTTGCACTAATCTCTTGTGTGGAACCGTGTCAAAAGCTTACATACAGTCCAAGAAAACGCAATCTACCCACCCCGCTCTCTCACTTGTCTTACTGCTGTCACCCTGCCATAGAACTCGAATAGGTTTGTGACACAGTATTTCTCGTCCCTCAGTCAGAGCTTGTCGTTGAAAAGCTCATTCCTTTCCAGGTGCTCCACCACTCTTCTGACAGTCTTCTCCATGACTTTGCACACTATACATATCAGTGACAATGGTCTGTAGTTTAATGTTTCGTATCTGTCTGTCTCTCTTAAAAATTGGGACTACATTAGCTGTCTTCCATACCTCAGATAGTCGCCTTGTTTCGATAGATGTGTTGAAGATTGATGTTAGTGGTACACATAGCACCTCTGCTCCCTCTCTCAGGACCCATGGAGAGATGTTATTCGGTCTCATCGCCTTTGAGGTATTTAGCTCGCTTAGCAGCCTCTTCACTTCTTCCTAGGTTATAGGTATTGTTTCCAACATTTTATGGTGTACCCCACCTCTCCGACTTTCCGGAGTCCCTTCTCTCTCCTCTGTGAACACTTCTTTGAATATCATGATGAGCTCCCCACATACTTCTCGGTCGTTTCTTGTGTTCTCCCCTCTTTTTTTCCTCAGCTTGATTACCTGGTCCTTGACTGTTTTTTCTTTCTGATGTGGCTGTACAACAGTTTCGGGTCAGATTTGGCTTTCGCTGCTCTGTCATTTTCATTGTCGTTGGACCTCCATTTTTACCTGTTCATACTCATTTCTGGCTCTACGACTGATCTCCTTATTCTCCTGGGTGCTTTGCCTTCTATACTTCTTCCATTCTCTAGCACACTTCGGTTTTGCCTTTCTACACCTTTAAGTGAACCCAGGGCCTTCTCGTTATTTCTCTTACCCTTGGGTACAAACCTTCCCTCAGCCTCTTTGCATATTTTTGTCACATTCCATCATCTCATTTACTGACTTCCCTGCAAGTGCTCTGTCCTAATGAACCTCGTGCAGGAAATTCTTCATGTTTCTGTAGTCCCTTCTCTTGTAGTCTGGCTTCGTTCGTCTTACCCTTCCTGTTTCCCTCTCCACTTGTAACTTTACTATGTATTCGAGGCTCACTGGCCCCGAGGGGTCTTTCATATGTGATGTTCTCAATATCTCCACTAAAGGTGGATCCTAGGTTCAGTCTTGTTAGTTCGTCCTCGCCCCTTACGTGTTGGTACATGAGGTTTTCCAGTACCACCTCCATCATCCTAGCCTCCACGTTTCTGGGCCCTCATAAGAACATAAGAACATAAGAAAGAAGGAACACTGCAACAGGCCTACTGACCCATGCGGAGCAGGTCCATGTCCCCCCCGGATTAGCCCAATGACCCACCCAGTCTGGTCACCTCCACTCAAAGGAGCACGGCACCAGACCCAGCAGCACAAGCTAGTCAGGTCCAACTCACACCCACCCACGCCCACTCATGCATTTATCCAACCCATTTTATAAAACTACACAACGTTTTAGCCTCAATAACTGTACTCGGGAGTTTGTTCCACTCATTCACAACTCTATTACCAAACCAGTGCTTTCCAATATCCTTCCTGAATCCGAATTTTTCCAACTTGAAACCATTGCTGCGAGTCCTGTCTTGGCTGGAAATTTTCAGCACGCTATATACATCCACTTTATTTATTCCTGTTTCCCATTTATACACCTCGATCATATCTCCCCTAATTCTACGCCTTTCGAGAAAGTGCAGATTCAGGGCATCAGTCTATCCTCATAGTGAAGATTTCGGATACATGGGATCATCTTTGTCATCCTCCTCTGTACGTTTTCCAGAGCATTTATATCCATTCTGTAATACGGTGACCAGAACTGAGCAGCATAGTCTAAATGAGGCCTAACCAAGGATATATAGAGTTGAAGAACAACCTGAGGACTTCTATTATTTATACTTCCAGATATGAAGCCAATAATTCTGTTAGCTTTATTGCGAACACTAATGCACTGTTGTCTTGGTTTTAGATTACTGCTAACCAGAGCTCCTAAATCCTTTTCGCAATCAGTAGTATTAAGATCTACATTATTTAGTTTATATGTCGCATGGTTATTTTCCTGTCCAACATTTAGAACTTTGCATTTGTCTATATTAAACTGCATCTGCCACTTCTCCGACCCTTGCATCAGTCTATTCAAATCATCCTGGAGCGCTCTAGTGTCCTCATTAGAATGAACTGAATGGCCTATTTTGGAGACATCAGCAAATTTGATTATGTCGCTATTTATTTCCTCATCTATGTCGTTTATGTAAATTGTGAACAACAACTGGCCCAACACTGATCCCTGAGGAACACCGCTTGCGACGTGCCCCCATTCTGATTTCTCCCCATTTATGCAAACTGATCTCTGCTGCCTATTTGTCAGCCATGCCTCTACCCAGGAAAAAAATTCTTCTCCTATTCCTTGTGCCTTAAGTTTCTTCAATTCCCATTGATGTGGAACTCTATCGAAAGCGTTACTTAAGTCCATATACACAATATCATATTCATTACCATAATCTACCTCCTCAAATACTTCAGTGAAAAAATATTAGTAAATTTTCGTAAGACAGGAACGCCCCTTTGTAAAACCGTGTTGAGATTCATTAATCAATCTGTGCCTATCAAGATGGCTACGAATTGCTTCGGCAATTATTGATTCCATAAATTTTCCCACTATGGAGGTAAGGCTTAATGGTCTATAGTTCGAATCCAAGGACTTGTCACCTGCCTTGTAAATAGGTATTACATTTGCCATTTTCCACTTATCAGGCACTATGCAAGTTTGTAGTGATATGTTAAAAAGATTAGCCAAAGGTATGCTAAGTTCCTCTTTACATTCCTTTAACACGCTTGCAAACAGTTCATCAGGGCCTGGGAATTTGTTAGGTTTTAATTTCCTCTATTTGTCTGAAGACCATGTCACTAGTTACCGCAATCGTGCA